AAGACATGGAATAGAATGAAATAGACTAGGAAATTTTATAATAGAAGACTAATAGATTGATATAGAACATAATATAAAAATATATAACTATTGGAGGAACGCATAATATAAATGTATAATAAAATCTAGAATATCTCATATAAAATGATGGAATAATAGTTTAGTCAAATGAATGATTGATAACTGATAAATATATCAGCATATGTTAAATCGACAATGTGAAAATCTATACAACCTATGAGTAAGGGCTATGAAAGGATAGCACAAAAGATTTGTAACCAACTGACACACTGTATGCATACAACTGGAAGATGGTGTTATTTTTGTTTTGTTTTGTCTGTATATGTTTGTCTTAAGAAAAATTAAAAAATTATAAAAAAGAAGACTATTGCCACTACTATTTATCATTGCAGCAGACGTACTATTAACACAAATTAGACATAACCAAGAAATAAAGAGATTGAGAATCAGAACAGAAGAATATAAAACGTAAACATTTGCCGGTGACATGGCATTCATTATAGAAGACCCTTTGGAAACAGGAAATATATTGTTACAGGAAATTGAAGAATTTGGCAGAGTGGTGGGACTAAAAATAAATAAAGAAAAAACAAAGATTTTAACAAAGAATATGACTGTGAAGCAGAAAGAGGAATTGGAGAAAAAATTGGGGGTCCAAACAAAAAAAACACTGAAATATCTTGGGGTATGGCTGACAGCTAAATGTTCATCAATAAAAGCAGATAACTATGAGAAATTATTAAAATAAATACAAAAAGTTCTGGAAAATTGGGGAAAACTTCAGATATCATTGATAGGGAGAATTGGTACTATTAAGATGAATAAGTTATTAGTCCTCTTTCAAACAATTCCAATAAAATTAGGCAAAACTTTCTTTGAAGAATTAAATAAAACAATTACAAAATTTATTTGGCAAGGGAAAAAGGCCGGATAAAACTAAAGCTCCTGCAGGATAGTAAAGATAAGGGAGGGTTCGGACTTCCAGATTGGGAATTCTACTATCAGGCCACAATAGTAACATGGATTAAAGATTGGGTAAATTTGAAGAATAAAAGAGTGTTAACATTAGAAGGACATGACCTGCATAATGGCTGGCACACGTTCATGTGGGAGGGGAAAAATAAATTTCATTCGTACTTTCAAAGACATCAAATTAGAGATACCTTACTAGGGGTTTGGGAAAAACTAAAACGAAACCACTATACAAAGATCCCAATCTGGATGTCAACATGGAAGTTATGGTATACCCAAATATGCTAGATCTAAATAAGACACTGAGCTATAAAGAACTACTAGATGAACAAGGGAAATTAAAATCCAAGCAGGAGCGTGAGTTACAAGGAACACAAGTAGATTGGTGGCCGTACCTACAGATCCAAACTAGATATTAGAAAGACATAGAATATGGGATATATTTGGAACAACAAGAATTGGATAAAATCTTACAGGGGGCAGAAGGAAAAATGATTACCAAAATGTATAAGTATTTGTTAAGGTATAAGCTGGAAGAAAAAATTGTGAAAGAAACAATGATAACCTGGGCCAAACATTTTGGATATAGTATTAATTTGGAAAATTGGGAAAACCTATGGGAAACAAATTATAAATTAACACTATCAGCAGCGTATAAGGAGAATTTATATAAAATGTTTTATTGCTGGCACTTACCACCAGAGAGGCTTGCAAAAATGTTCCCCAATAATTCAGCAAGTTGTTGGAAATGTGGCCACGAGCAGGGAACCTACTACCATATGTGGTGGACCTGCCCAAAAGCAAAAAAATATTGGCGGAAAATCAGAAATTGGCTAGAAGAAATTACAAAAGTAAAAATTGAAATGAAACCAGAGATATTTCTATTAGGGATTTTAAAACAAAAAATTAGTAAAAAGCTGTTTTATATTATACTCCATGTACTAACAGCAGCAAGAATTGCCTTTGCCCAAAATTGGAAATATGAAAGGGCGTTGGTACTTTCCTGATACGCCCATTCTCTGTGAGCTGTAAAGAGGATCCAGTAGTGGGAGGTGCTTCAGTCTCTTTTTGGATATGCTGGGCTTAATTGTGAGGATGCTCCTCCTCCTCCATGGGACTCCTCCCTAGTGTCCCCCAGTTTTGGCAAAGTCAAAGTGATGAAACTTTCTTTTCCTTCACCCTGTCTAACAGTTGGCCGGAATAGGACCTCACCAGACGGAATTTGGGTGGGGCTGGATGCTCTTCACAGCTCACAAAGAACGGGCATATCAGGTAAGTACCAACGCCCTTTCTCCAATGACCTGTTCAGAGCATCCAGTAGTGGGACATACCAAAGCTTGGCTTGTCCTACGGGAGGGTCTTTGTCTGGAGTGGCGTTCCCTCTCGGTCCCTGTGGACCCATTGCAAAACTCTCCTACCAAAAGAAGCCTCAGCGGAGGCAAAGACATTTATTTTATAGATTTATTTCATTACACAATGAAGGGCGATGGAGATGCCCAAGTTGCCGCCCGACAAATTTCTTCTATTGGCGCTTGTGTGGCCCATGCCACTGACATTGCAGCATTCCTGGTAGAATGTGCTGTTACACCCCTGGGCACTGGTAGTGATTGAGTCTCGTACGTCTTAGCAATCATGGCTCTCAACCACCTGCCGATTGTCGAAGAGACCTTGCATCCCTGAGTGGTAGGTTGAAAAGAAATGAAAAGAGCCTCTGTTTTCCTAAAGGCTGTCGTTTGGTCTAAATATACACGTAGAGCACATCTCACGTCAAGTTGATGCCATTGACGTTCAAGGCCCTGAGTTGGCCTCAGACAAAAGTTCAGGAGGACCAACTCTTGTGCCCTGTGGAAAGCCGAATTAATTTTTGGAATGAACATTGGATCTGGTTGAAGAACTACTCTGTATGAATGAAAAATGCAGAGGTCCTGTCTGACAGATAAGGCGGCTAGTTCCGATATTCGTCTTGCTGATGTTACTGCTACCAAGAAAACCACCTTGTACATTAGAAGGCAGAGACTCGTAGTCTTCAGGGGCTCAAAGGGGCACTTCGTGAGCGCGATAAGAACCTTGTTAAGGTCCCAAGTTGGATAACGGTGTACCACTGGGGGCTGTAAATTTGTGGCACCACGAATAAAGATGCGAATGCATGGGTGATGGGAAATGGAGTGCAGAACTCCCTAGGAGACGACCAAAGCTAGGGCCACCACCTGTCTTTGCAAAGTGTTCAGTGAGAGACCCTTGTCCAGGCCTTCTTGTAAGAACTCTAATACTTGTGCCACTGACAGAGAGGTTGGGTCAATACGGGATTTAGCACACCATCTACAAAACATATTCCATGTGGCATTGTATATGCAATTTGCTGAAGGGTGCCTGGCTGCTTGGATGGTGGAGATCACTTTGTTTGAAAGTTTTTTGTGTTTCAGACGTCTCCATTCAATCTCTATATGGCTAGGTGGAGCCATTGTGGGTCCGGGTGTTGAATCAGACCCTGGGTGAGCGAGACTCTGTCTGGCGGGAGTCTCCATGGTTCTGCTGAAAACAGATCCCTTAGATCCATGAACCATGGCCATCTGGGCCAGTATGGTGCCACCAACAACAGCTCTGCTTTCTCTTCCAGAAGCTTTTGGACCACCTTGGGAATCACCAGAAAAGGTGCAAATGTATACAGAAGTCTTGGGGGCCAGCGGGAATGGAGAACATTGATTTTCTCCGCTCCTTGAGACAGGTACCTTGAGATGAACCTCGAGAGTTGTGAGTTGAGGGGAGAGGCGACCAAGTCTATGACTGGTTGACCTAACCTCTGGACCACTTCTTGAAACAGTCGGATGCAGGTGCCACTCTGACTGATCAACTGTGGCCCTGCTCAACCAGTCTGCCGGGGTGTTTGACAGACCTGAGATATGCTCCGCCTTGACAGAGAGCAAATTCCTTTCTGCCCAAAGGCACAGTCTCTCCGCTTCCCTCATGAGTTGTCTTGAGTGGGTACCTCGTCTATGTGGGCTTTTGTTGTGACATTGTCGGTTAAGATGAGGACGTGTTGGGTCTGAATCTGTGGAAGGAAACTGCAAAGAGCCAGGTGGACTGCTCTGAGTTCCATCCGGTTTATGCTGTACGATTGTTCTGGTATGGACCAACGCCCCTGAGCTGTAAGGGACTGGAAGTGTGCTCCCCATCCAAACAGACTGGCATCTGTTGTGATGGTCAATCTGTGGTGTCCTTGAAATGGCAACCTTTGTTGATGGTTGGAACGGTCCACCAGTGAAGGGATATCAGGACCTTTGATGGTACGGTGACCTGGGACTTGGGAGTTCCTTCTTCCTGACTGTTGGTACAGAAGCAGGAACCATTGTAGGGTTCTGGCATGAAGCCGGGCCCAGGGGACAATAGAGATGCAGGAGATCATTTTCCCCAACAATTTAGATAAGTGAGCAGGGGAACCCGTTTGAGTGTTCTGATCTCCTGAGCAAATTGCCTAATGCTCTCTTGACTATCTGGAGAGAGGAAAACCTTCCCTTCCACAGTGTCTATAATGGCACCCAAGTGAATTAAGTGAGTCAATGGAGTTAAGTGACTCTTTGCCCAGTTTATGGAAAACCCATGCCATTGGAGGGACTGTAAGGTGATCTGAGTATCTATTACGGCCTGTTGAGCAGAAGATGACAAAAGTAAAATGTCATCAAGATAACACTGCAGCCGGATGGGTCTACCCCTGAGATGGGCAGCCAGGGCAGCCAGAACCTAGGTAAAGGTCCTGGGGGCGGATGCTAAACCAAAAGGAAGGGCGACGTACTCAAAGTGTAGATTATTATAACAAAATCTGAGGAACTTACTGTGTGAAGGCCTGATTGGGATGTGCAAATATGCCTGTTAGGTCTGTAGACGTTAGATCACCCTGTCTAATGCTAAGCAGAACAGATTGCAATGTGCTCATTTTAAACTTTCGGTACACCAGAGAGCGATTGAGTCATTTTAAATCTAAAATTTCCCTCCACCTCCCCCCTCCCGAACTCTTCGGAACCACAAAAAGGTGCGAGTAAAAACCCTGCCCTTGTTGATCCGGTGCCACTGGTTGAATGGCCCGGATCTCCAGCAGATGGTGGATAGCTGTCTGCATAAGAGTTCTTTTAACAGGGACCCTAGAGAGTGGGCATGTCATGAAGAATTTCAGGGGTGTGGATTGGAATTCCAGAGCCAAACTGAATCTAATGGTATCTCTGACCCAAGAGTCAGAGGTAGAGGAAACCCATTGGTCGGCGAAGAGTTTCAGCCATCTGCCAATGGGAGCATCGACATTGGCCCTATTTGGGGGGGGTCAGAATGCCCTGTTTCCTGCCCCACAGAACAGTCTCTTACCTTGTCCACCCCTTCTATTTCTGTCCCCAAAGTCAGATCTTTCTGACTGCTGCCCCTGTCTGCATCCAGAGGCTCTCTGGAATCTTGGGGAATATGGTCCCTGATAGAAGGGACAAAAGGAACCCCTCCGAAAGGACTGGGTATTCCTGTTGTCTGATTTACGAAAAAGAGAGGGGAGGATCTTTTTCTTACTTCTGGTTTCTATCAGGAGCAGATCAAAGGCAGTGCCAAACAACTTGTCTTCCGAAATGGGGGATGAGGCAAGCTTCCACTTGTGCTTGGTGTCAGCTTGCCAGTGTCTGAGCCATAGTAATCACCATGCTGTGACCTGGGATGCTATGGTTCTTGATGAAAATTTAACCGCATTGAATGTTACGTCCACAGAGAATTCTGCGGCAGCTATCAGTTTGGCAATGTCCTGATGCGCCCTTATATTAGAGGTTGGTATGGTTTCCCTCAGGTGGCGGAACCACCCAAGGGAGGATCTAGCAAAAAAAGATATGGCCATAGCCGCTCTTATGGCCCATGCATCTGACTGATGTGCTTTATGAAGAGCTAACTCAGCTCTCTTGTCTTCCGGTTTAAGTGCCTCCTCTGCTGCACTGGGAATAGCGGAGGAGGATGCTAAATCTACGACCAGATCATTGACCTTCAGTGTGTTTAGGGAGTTAGAAAAGTCTGGTTCCAGGTTGTAAAACTTCCTATCGTATCCCGTGGGGGCGGGGTACACCACTGCGGAAGCCCATTGTTTTTGTACCAGGTCAGAGAACATGTGTGGAACTGGGATTATGTCCGCCTCGGTAACTGGTTGGGAAAAATTAAGTCCTCTGACTCCTCCTGTAAAACTGCTGGTTGTGAAGAGGGAGTCGATTTGTCAAGGCATGCGGTGTTCTTAGCCTTGAACAAGAGTGACTTAAATAATTGAGGGCGGAACAGACCCGTAAATGTCGGTTGATCGGGAATGAGGCCCTCATCATCTGACATGCGCCTTTCCAGTGGATCCACCTCTGACAGGGCCAGGTCATTGTCATGTGCTGACCCTGACTCGACTTGTTGCATTTGGTCATTTTGGTCTTCCTCGTCCTGCAGTCCCTGGAGAGGCATGTCTGGGAGTATAGAAAACTCCCCTTGGGGAGGTACCTGAGGGTAATGTTAATCCATCCTGCTTAGTGACTGCACTGATTGTGAATTGCAGTCAGAAGCTGTGGATTGTCGTCTGGCCAATAAGGACTATTGTACACCTGCTGCAATGCCCTGTCGTATCACTAGCTCCATCCATGCTCTCATCCTAGCGGGGATTTCCTCCGGGAGGGTCTCATCTTGATGAAGTCCGGCTTGCTGTTGGGGTAAATGTGGCCTCAGGGGCCCATCGTGCCACAGGTGCTGCCGTTGAGATGCCAGGGTGAACTTGCCTGGCAGAGCTGCGCCTGGATTGTGGAGACAGTTCCAGGGGAGGAGGCAGGGGGCTTGGACCCTGAGCGGCTCAAGGAGATGGGACTGATGTAGTCTTCTTGGTCTCCCACATACACTTCTTCATGTGCTTTTCTAGTGCCTGGTGGCGTCTATGGGCGTCCTTTTCAGCGGCTTTGGAAGGCCTCTTGGACTCCTTTGACTTGCCCTGGGCTCTAGACATGGTTCTTGAGGTTGATGCTCTAGAGCTACTACCTCTTGCCATTGCCACCCATTGAATTACAGTATATATATATATATTTACCTATGAGGCTGCAGCCTAGGGCAGTTGGCACACCCAGGGACCTGTTCCAAGGGTGGACAGGGAACCCTTAAAACAATTTAATTTCCACTCTTGTTTTTTTAGTTATATTATTATTATTATTATTATTATTATTATTATTATACAACAATACAGAAGTTTTGGATATTATGAATATTGCTCCAATTAAGACCAAATTTGGGCTGAATGAAACCAGATTAATTAATTTTTTGACAACATCTAACCAGGCCAAAAAACTTTCATTGAAGTAGTAATAGGCCTGCAACAGCTGCCCTGCACAGGCGGACTTAGGCCTTGGTGCTTGCTGTTGAGCTGCTGGAAATATAATGTGAGGGTTAGCCAACTATTTTCTCCACTAACCCCAAATGGATGGGGGAGCAGAGCTGTAAATCCTCATGGCCTGTGAAAAGGAGCCCTGATGGAGAAATAGCCCTCTCACAGACTGAATATCCAGTGGCGTTCGGCACCACGGTCAAAATTGTGCCTGCTGCTTTTTGGTGCACTGAGACCATTCCAGTAGCTAATTCCCGCCTGAAGTCGAGCCCTGTGGCGAAGAAGCCACCAACGGCTCGCAAACACAAGGTGGGGAAGGGTAACAGGTGCTGATGCCTCCACCCCCTGCAGCATTCTCTGCAGGGGAAAAGCCTCGGGCTGTTGAATTGGCCGAACACGAGCTGCGCTCACTGTTTGGAACGGCGCTGCTTCAATTGGGAGACTGCAATGGCAAGGGCTAGAGATTCACGGTTTTGAGGCAGCCGCCTCAATCCACCCTTGGAGCGCCAAGAGTGCTCTTTGAGGGGCCGTAACAAGCTCCGATGGCCAGGTGGTAATAATTGCCATTGGAGGCTCCCGGGGACTCCTAGATGACACGTGGAGCCCTTAAAGATAATAATGAGTGATCAAACCTGATGCTTTTTTTAAGAAGTGTTAGGGTCTTTGCTCCTATTCTGGCCAATGAACAGAAAGCCGCCTAGTCCTATGAAGGCTGAGCAAAAACTGGGGGACGCTAGGGAGGAGTCCTATGGAGTGGGAGGAGCATCCTCGCAATTAAGCCCAGCCTATCCAAGAAGAAGCTGAAGTACCTCCCACTACTGGATGCTCTGAACAGCTCATTTGAGAAAATACCCCCCCCCCGACTTTATGATCATAAAGAAAACTTTGGAATGTGCAGAAATTGACAGGTTGTCAATGAAACTTAAAAACAAAGAGACAGAGTACTATGAGACCTGGAACTTATGGTACAGCTAGTTGGAAGGTAGACATGAAATGAACAAAAGGAAGATAAATAAAAAGGTATGATGGAAGTCAATAATATTACTTGCAATTAGGTATATGTTTGTAATATAACAATTGGATGAAAATTTCTACTACATATTAATGTAATAACTGTGAATGATTATGCATTTTACATAACTTGAGAGATGTCAAATTACACTGTCTTGCTCACGTTGCAATAAGCAAAATGTTTTGTTTTATTGTGTTTGTGTAAATATGTTTAATAAAGTATTTTTCTAATTAAAAAGAAAAAAAAAGAAAACATCCATCAAATCCCGGTATTCTCTGGGGACTCCTGGTAGGGGTCCATTCACCGCAGCCACAGCTACCTCCTCACTCTGTGGTATTCAGTCTGATGGGGTTCCTCGATCCAAATGAATTCATCATTAGGGAATTGGAGGGTCCCCTTTGTCCACTCCACCCTTGGGGTCTACTTCTTTAACCAGATTTGCCCCAGAACTAGAGCCCATCCCAACCCTGGTGTCACAATGAAAGCAATGGTTTCGGAGTGATTTACCATTGTTAGTTCGAGTGGTTCAGTGGCAAACGTGGCCAAGGCACCCTCTGCAATAGACCCATCAAGTTGGCAGAATGAAACTGGGTTTTTTAGTGGCCAGTTCCTTGACCAGAGTCAGGCTTATTAGGTTTCTCATGCACCCCAAATCTAGCAATGCCTTAAGTCTCACTTTTCTCCCCATTACCAGAATTAACAGTTCTATAGGGGTTGTAAGGGGTTCAACAACCCCACTGACCAAAGGGTCTTTGTAGTCACTCTCCGACTGACTGGATTCCTCCACCGGAGTGGTGGGAGTTCCTCGCACTGTAATTAATTCTGGTAGGAACTCAACAACCGCATGGGTTTTCAGGGCGATATCTTTGGAATGCGGTGATGGCTTTGAGGGTTTCCCTCAACCTGCTTCTCTCCCTTCCAGGGGGACATTCTCACATGGCACTCATTTGCATGGTGGCCTTCCTTCCTGTAATGGAAGCAGGCAGCTGAGCGTGGCAAGACAGAGTGAGCATTGGTTTCCTCCCTTCTCCTTTCCGGTGGGGATCTCTTCCAGGAGCAGTTTGTGCAGTACTGGTTATGAGCTTTGTCAATTTCCGCTTCCTCAGCCAAGACACACCAGCTGTGCAGGTGGACTGGGGCTCCACGGGCAATGCAGGCATTGTACAGGTCATCATTTAAGCCACCCTTGAACCAACTCACAAGTATTTCTTCTGGCCAATCTACGTGGCAAGTCAGATCACAAAACTCTTGTACTCATCAGATGGCATCCCTGTCTGATGTGCCTTATGCGGTCTCTAGCCTTATGGTTGGCTAGGGGGTCCTCAAATCTCTGTCTCAGGGCTGTCATGAAATGGTTGAAGTTGCAGAGCTCCGGTGCATCTGTATTATGGAGGCTCACCATCCAATGTGCAGCTGATCCTTCTAGAGCCAGGGTGACAACTCTGACTTTGGCGCCTTCTGTAGAGAGATCCCTCCCATATTCCTGCATGTAGGTCAGTACATGTGTGAAGAAAAATCCCAGTTGCTGGGGATTCCCATTGAATTTGACGCCTTTCATTCTATGGGCAATTTAAATTATATCTTAAAACTTACACCTTTTAGTCATACAATTTATAATCTTTCATATGTCTATAAGCTCTATAATCTAACAAGTTCCAATGTTTAAGTAGACCAGAGCAAAATAAGGTTTACAATCCAACTCTATCAAGAGTTGCAGTTCAGCCAAAATTTGTAATCCAAAATCTAAGTTCTGTGTGATCTTGCCCAATCAATAAATCCAGGTCAATCAATGATAATAGCCCGTTGGCTTTAACTAGTCCAAACAGTAAGTCTCACCAAGTGATAAACAGTGAAATGTTTTGTTCTGTTATGATATGTA